GGGAACGTTGGCAAGAGTTTTCATGAAAAAAAAGGAATTCAACAAGAGTTCAATGAGGCATGCAAGTAATTATCACTACGAAGGCATTGCAACACCTTCCAAGCATTCCGCAAGGCGACCTGCCAATATAGCAAAGGGGCGACGTACCAACGCTGCAACATTGCGGTCTGCCAGAGTTGCACCCAAGGTGGTGTGCCAGCACTGCAACCGCATGTGAAAATGTGCGCACCTACCAACTAGGTGCAGGTCGAAGGTTGCACTGTGATGCATATTGCCCAACTTCCATGTAAAACATGTGTCAACTGTTTCGACAGATGTCCACCGTCGAGCACGTGATGACATTCCGCGGGTCAGCTTCGCCAAGACCTTATGGGCGAAATTCGGGCACCTACTGAATTTCGCCGTCGCATAGCTTCGATCAGCCTCTTCGATGCTTCTCGGTTTGCTGATCGACGACCAATAACGTCGACCAGCGACCACCGTCTATGATGTCGGCCGGATCCCGCCGAGCATGGCTTAATCAACCATTGCTTTTATCAACCAGCCGAACCCTACTTGACGGCCTCTTCGTCGTTCCCTATCAGTCAACGAGGAGATTGGCTGCTCTCAAGCGAGACGGGGCCTTTCTCTTCTACAAAGATAAAGAAGGCTTCGATGTTTCTCTTCGATACAAGAATCGAGTTAAGCTCACGGTAAGAATAACAAGGTGTCGATGTTTGACATTAGCCTGGAGATGAAATTCGTAAAGAGCAAGTGCAACTGTAAGGAAACTGCATGATTTGGGATTTGTAGATGTGGAAACAATTTGGTTGTACGTGATGTCATAGTAAAAAATATTAATGCTCTAGATTATTTATGTGCTCTAGACATCACATTTAAGCCCGTACTTTACAGCCAGCATTATATGTGCCCTTCCTACTTATTACAACAATAAGTCCCTCCCTGACTGCTAGCCACTATTTGAAGGCGAGGTGAAAAAAACACTGTAATAAACGAATTTAACTTGTCTATTTATGTGCTACCGTAATCTTCCGGCAAGAAGACCCCCCTCGCATACAAGCCCCTTGGGCCTTTTATCCGGACCATGGGTCTTTTATTATGTCAGTCCTGGAGAGGACCCGTCTTTTGACCTCATTTGTTATAAGACACCCCTCTTTTGCATGGGTGGTGTTTACCGGTGCGCTACTTAGCGAGTCACAAGAAAAAAAACACCACATTCACACTCCGCGGCAAATTCGTGGTCAATGGAGTCAAGATGCCACATCGATCATACACTCTTGCCGCCCGTCACGCAAGAAAAGCTGACGTACCTGTCACAATCGGGCACGACAGGGGGTGTGACGCGTGGCAAGGAGATTGATGCGTGCGAAGCGAGAGTGGCGTTAGGATTCCCCGCTTTGAGCTGTACTCGATTCGCAAAAAAAAGATTGAAAATTTTCAACTCTTGTCTTTACAATCCATTTTTGCGTGATTTATAAATGTCCAGTGGTCTTATGCACTCTATATAATCAGAGAAGACCCCACAGCCCATTTTGAGCACAGTTAGGAGAAGACCCCCAGGTCTTCTAACCGGGAGATCACGATATTACCCCATAAAGCACAAAACCTATTTACGAAGTCAAAAGCAAACTGGTAATACTGTGCCTCCCGCACCTTTTTGGCCAAACCATGTTGAGGATTCCGCACCTACTTGGTTACCCCACTTTGATTTGAACCATTTTCGACAAGCCCAGAAAGAGTCCCGCAACACGATTTCAAAAACACCAGCAAACAAGGCAGGGGTTCAAGAGAAGCACTGCCTATGTGCTTGTAATTCAGGTTTCGGGATTGAGCTCAGTTTCTTCCCATGCTCTCCCCCCCCGTGACTCTTTACCGATGTGCGTAAAACTCGCAATCTAAGAAATATTTTCTCAGCGCCGCGATATTCCGGGAAATAGAAACCTCGCAGGGGAGATTTTTGGGCGGATACAAGTTGTCGGGGGGAAAACAGACTCGCGGCCGTGCCAGGTGCGGCATAGGCCGGGGCTGTTGGATGGTAGCGAGAGGGAGAGGCGCGGGGCAGTAAGAGGGGGAGCCAAGGTTGTCGCGTCGGACGGCGCGCAGTAGAGCAGATGAAAGATGGCAAATTTCGTGCCCTAACGGACCCAACTCCCTTTTTCCTGCATCTGCCTCTTCACGCGCCTCGACGCCTCCTCAGCTCGCGCCTCCTCATCTGCTTCTCATTGCCATCTGGGCCTCCCGCTTCTCCGCCACGTGCCACTCCACCGCCGTACGCCTTATCAACGTCCGCCTCTCCGCGTTTCCCGTGCCCACCCAATAGCCCCATGCGCTCCTTATCCCTGCCATCGCATGCGCAATCCCCACCCATACCCGCACGTGCATCGCTCCCCACCCAACGTGCGCCCACAGCTCCACCATCCACGTGCTTCGCCAACAGGGTGCCAAACCTAGGTTTTATCAAGTTGACAAGTGTTGAGTAATTCCGATTTTGGCCTTTAAATATGCAAAAATGGCCATATTTACCTTCAAAGCTCCTCCATGGCAGATTATTTTCTCACTGAATGCCAAAATCATAAGAATTGTGAATGCAACGTTGCTGCAAAATAGGATATGAAGTTATAATTAAAGAAGCATATATAATTGTTATAGTTAAGACTTCAAAGAATAAACTATTTCCTTCTTCTTATGGAAATCGAGGGCACCTACTTTAGGGGATTCAACAATGTTTCCACAACTGGACAAAGGGTCCAACGGTTGTCGGGAAGCAACCACCAATCAGTTTGGTCACACTCGCTTTCGACGAGTTTCGCCTAGCTTTTACTGGCATGGTTGCCGAAATCACATAGCTTCCAGTTCCATGAACGTACGTAACATCGACGCCCCACTCTTTTCAGACTGTTGATCAGAAAGCAGTTGTGATTACGGGGAGCACGAAGGGGGCGAGGTGGGACAAATGGGTATCCTCGCTGATCCGCTTCTCGGCCCCACAAACCCGCCGTCCCTAGGCAGCAGCCGAACTGTGCGCACTGGACACTCCACATGGTTGATGGACTCGGTAATAACAGGAGCCGTAGGGGCGGTTCGACTTGATGATCCCAACTTGATGATCCCGACTGCGATTTGCAGAAATTGGTCTTCAACACACCAGGCAAGGCTCAAGAATGAATGGTGGAGGTCGCCTTGCGACCTATACCACCGCGACCGCATCATCCCCGCCGCCCATGGCTGAAGCGGTTGGTCGATCTGGAGCGCACAAGCGATTGGTGACAGGAGGAGCCGCATTGACGAGGGCGATTGGGATATCGTTCCTGATGTGGCGGGAAGTGTCGCCGTTAGCATCCTTCAAGGAACCCTTAGGGCGAGTGACGGGTGAGTGAGCGATCCTGCGAGGAGTGGCACGTGGGTGAATGATGGCGTGGAGCATGACGGTCTGGAGATCGACAATTGGATGGCAGGCGAGGCATCAAACGCCGCTCGGCCCAACAATTGTCTGAACGCCCTTTGCAGTGATCATCACGTGACTTACGCGAATGGCCACAAGGAGAACGAGCCCGATGTGGTTCTTCCCCACCGCTAGAATGGACAGTAGTGACTCCCCCCCCCCCCTCCCCCCTCTACCCCTCGCTTCTCTGGAGTGCAATGTTGGACTTCGAAGCGTCGACGAGTGTGGTCAGCCTAAATGGGAGGCGGCGCAGGGACGCTCACTGTAGCGCAGGTGCACTCTCTGCGGTAGCGCAGATGCACTCTCTGCGGTAGCGCAGTGCACTCTCTGCGGTACATTGATACTCGTAGAGAGATGAAAGCTCCATTAGTGATCGTAGCTTGCGCTAGCGTTTTCTTGTCAGAAACTAGAGACAGGAATGAGTTTCCTAATGGGGTTGTACCCCATGTTGGCTACTCCACTATAGCCTACATGAATATAACATGCATATAATTTGACACACCCCCACAGGCAAAGTGGGGGAGAGCAAGGGGTCACAAGACCAGTCAAGAAAGGCAAAGCAAGCTCAGGGTGGATCACAACGTCACCACACACTGAGCACAAGCAAAGGGCCACAAGGCCAGTTCACATGCAGAGGTATATATGCAACAATAGCATCACAGTGATCACTACCTAGCAAGAGCAAGCAAGCAGGTATATATATATATAGATCACAGTACAAGCAAAGACTACAGCAAGTGCGGAAACGTAGGCACAAGGCCTAACAAAGTACAAAGGCGCTGATGATCACCAGGCGGAAGTGCCTTGGTGAATATATCAGTAGTGTTGGCCCGAGTGGCCACGTGAGCAAGACGAAGCTGACCTCGCTGCTGCAACTCTCGAGCCAAGAAGTAACGCAGAGCGATGTGCTTCGTTCTGTGCTCCAGTCTGTGCTCCTGACACAAGGCAATGGCGGCCTTGTTGTCAACGTACAGAACTGGAGGAGAACGAGGCCTCTCTCCCAAGTCAGTCAGCAGGTAGGTGAGCCAGCGTAACTCCTGTGTAGCCATGGCTGTGGCGTAGATCTCAGCCTCACAACTAGAGCTGAGAACAGAAGACGAGCGAGTAGACCGCCAAGAAACAGAGCCAGAGCCAAGGCTGAAGGTGTAACCCTGTGACGACCGCTGCATAGCCTGGTCGTCAACCCAAGACGCATCAGAGTGCATCACAAAAACCCTATGCCAAGTTTGGACGAATTTTGATTGCGATTGTCTTCGCGTAAAAAAATCCGGACCCAATTTCGACCGACGGTTGGAGTCGTTTGATAGGAGCTCCGACACACATCTCGCGACAAGGCTTGGCTCGGGTCAAGTTCCAAATTGGCACGCGTGCTTTTCCGGAAGACGAATGCGCGCAATCCGTTTTGGTGCAATTTCGTGAGCAGATCATTTAAAATAGATTTTATTTTTTGTTTTATTAATGGGCTTGAGGATCTCAGAATTACATTCAATATTCCGGTTTACAGCAACCATTATTCAGCATTGTAACAACAAGCAGTTTTAACACCTAGTGAAATAGCCTACTCAATGGTGGGCCCTGCAAGCGCCCGGTGGGCAAGAACAACATCTCCAAGGTCGCCATCGTCGATGAGGAACTTGTTCGGGAAGACGAACGCACCCCGAGCCGGATCGTGTGGGATGCGTCGCTCCACGACGGCAAAGTGTATCATCTGTTTGACCTTTTCACACCATTCGAAGTAGTCCGGCCTGTTTTGTTCCGGCTGGGCCGGAATTCGCTTGCGGCGCTTGTCCTGCAGAAGGGGCCACTCGATCTGCAATGTGGTGTAGGGTTGGGTGGATGGTGTATGAGGGGGGGTAACGGGTATATGCTCCAGCTGAACCAGGTGAAGACGACACATCCTACGTAACCGCAAACGCCTAAGCGACCAGGGATTTAGACGAAGTATAGGCAAGGGGTTTAGGGGATGATGCATGGGTGTAGAGACACATATCTACCTCCTTACCGAAAACAGGCCCCATGCCACCATGCGGCTCTTGAACTTGGTGAACACGACCCCGCTCCTCTTGAAGGAGAGCTTGAACGCATAAGCAAACAAGGGGTTGCTGAAGGGTGTTCCGGTGGCCTTGTCAAAGTGCCAGTTGAGGGCCCACTGTTCTGCATTTTGGAGGGAGCGTATGGGTTGGAAAGGGGGTGCAGATAGATAAGGTGGGGGGGTGAGAGACAGGGTCAGAGTACCACGACACGGTTATTTGTAGTTGCTGACTGGCTTATGGGCAGGGGGATATGGTGTGTTTGAGACGCACATACCATCTCTGTACTCCGCCAGGAGTTGCTCGTCGTTGAACCACTTCTTTGGGTGTAGCTCAGTGGGCAGGCAATCCACCGCATTGGCGTAATCGGAGAGACCCATGCCGGCGTACGTTGCTGGCCTGAGGGTGGTGTTGATTGTTGACCTGGTTGATGACATCTGGTGGTTGAAAACACCCATGGTTGACTTGTCGTTGTGCAACCACAGCAGCTTCATTGACTCTAGCCCCTCGGCAGACAAGTGGACAGCGAAGGCCTCGAACACTTCCTCCGGTGCAGGGTAATACTGAATTTTCTCCGGGGGGTTCAGAAACAGGAGCTGAGAGCACACTAAGTAGGCTTTGCTCTGCGCAGGGGTGTGGGGTTTACAACACGACACGGGGAGAGAGAAATTATGAGTAATGACTGTGGCCGGGTGACCACAGGATGGACTGTAGGAACCTTCCACGTCAGCCCCCACCCCTCACATCCCGCCACGTCACACCTTCTTGCATCCGCCACGTCAGGGGACAACAACCAGGCCCACGTGCCACGTCACACCCACCCACCCCATGCCACGTCACCCCCCCACCCACCTGACACGACCAGCGTCGTCACGCGCCACTCCCGTGTAACCTTCCAGGCCGCCACGTCAGCCCCAAGCCTCACATCCCGCCACGTCACACCCTCCTGCATCCGCCACGTTAGGGAACAACAACCAGGCCCACGTGCCACGTCACACCCACCCACCCCATGCCACGTCACCCCCCCACCCACCTGACACGACCAGCATCGTCACGCGCCACTCCCGTGTAACCTTCCAGGCCGCCACGTCAGCCCCAAGCCTCACATCCCGCCACGTCACACCCTCCTGCATCCGCCACGTCAGGGAACAACAACCAGGCCCACGTGCCACGTCACACCCACCCACCCCATGCCACGTCACCCCCCCACCCACCTGACATGACCAGCGTCGTCACGCGCCACTCCCGTGTAACCTTCCAGGCCGCCACGTCAGCCCCAAGCCTCACATCCCGCCACGTCACACCCTCCTGCATCCGCCACGTCAGGGAACAACAACCAGGCCCACGTGCCACGTCACACCCACCCACCCCATGCCACGTCACCCCCCCACCCACCTGACACGTGTCGCCTGGTCCCGCGCCGCTCCCGTGTAACCTTCCAAGCCGCCACGTCAGCCCCACCCCTCACATCCCGCCACGGCACACCCTCCTGCATCCGCCAAATCCACCAACAACCATCCCCACGTGACACGTCACACCCACCCTCCCCATGCCACGTCACCCCCCACCCACCGGACACGCGTCGCCTCGTCCCGCGCCGCTCCCCTGTACCCGTCCAAACCGCCACGTCAGCCCCAACCCTCACATCCGCCCACGTCACACCCACCCACCCCATGCCACGTTACCCCCCACCCACCCCATGCCACGTCACCCCCCACCCACCTGAAGGCTCTCGCCCCGTCATGCGCCGCTCCCTTGCATCCGTTCAACACCACCACGTCATATCTCAACCCTCACCTTTTTTGCCACGTCACACGCCCTTGCGTCCGCCGCCTACACCAACAGCTCAACCCACTTGCCACGTCGCACTCAGAGATCCGAAAGAGCCACGTCAGCCCCCGCCCACCTGTGGAGCCGCGTGTCGCCCTGCACCGCTCCCGCGCACCCTTTCCAACCGCCACGTCATCCCCAACCCTTCCCTGGTTGCCACGTCAACCCCAACCCGCCACATACCGGGAATGGGTTGGTCTCCCGAAGCACAAGCACACGTGCCCTGTCCACGGCACTCATCGGCGGCGGGGTACCAGCCATAGGCACCACTGCAGTCCCCCCGGCATAGCTGGCAGTTGCTCCACGACGCAGGCCGAGCTGAGCAAACATGGCGTACATCTCAGACCGTAGCTGCTGGAACTCGTCTCGTGTAACAAACTGCCCATGCTCTGCACCTTCGCCCAGCGCATCCATGACATCCGGAAAAGGGTGTGTAGAAACCCCTCTCTGGCCAAGGGGATCAACGTCTTCAGCAGCAGCCCCGTGTGCCCTCACACTATCACGCTGGCGGGGAAAGGGAGGCTCAGGGAAGGGATTGGCAGAAGTGCTTGGTTGATGCCCGCGCGATGGACCAGCGAGGGGGGAGACCGCCCTGCCCCGGACAGGAGAAGCGTGTAGTGGCCGAAATGGGTAAGAGGGAGAGGCGAGTGGGGAGTGCGTGACGGGGGCTGGTGGAGGGGATTCGGATTCCTCTCCTGTAGCCGCGCCGGGTGCAGTCGCAGCGACTTTGCTCGGGCCGGAGTATGGCGTGAAGAACCTTGGTGCTCCTGTGGATAGCGGTGCCACACTCGCTCTTCCGGCCCCTTTCGTTAGCTGCATCCGTTGCACGCTTACCGGTGGCCCAATGCCTGTAACACGGGGGGCTGAGAGTCACACGGAGGATGAGCACGGAGATGGTGTCTGCTATGTACATTTGGACACATGCACGCAAACGAGTAACCGCATGATTCAGACAGGGGTGTAGCTGGGAACTGTAGTGTATAGTCACGCCTTACCCGGTTTAGCCGATTCGTCAACCTTCTCCTTCCCTGCGGCGGGGAAACACGGGGTGGAACACGGTGTTGTTAGGGTCTGTTCATCACAAACCACGGCAGCTATGCCATGCGTTTGTGACACTTTGCGTACCTCGTTGCTGTCCCTTCGGTTTTGCTGCCTGCTCCTTATCGTTGCCCCCTTTCCGCGGTGTGCTTCGGCGGGTGCTGCCTCGTTTACGGGCAGGTTCCTTCTTTGCCGAACCTACAGGTACCCCTTTCGCGCGCCTTCCCTTTCCTTCTCCATCGCCTGCCCCACCCTGTCTCCCTTGCTTCCTTCCACCCCGGTCAGTTTCGACCTTCACTTTACGCGCCTTCGATTTGCCCGCTGGGCCGCCACGCATTGCGTCAACCGCCCCGCGTTTCCGGGATTGAACAGACCGGCCCCCCACCTTCCCTGTGCCACTCCCCCGTCTGCCTCGCGCGCCCCGTCCTTTCCCTGCCGGCTCCTCCTCCTCCTCCTCTTCCTCATCCGCCCCTTCCTCCACCTCCTCTTCCTCCACGTCGTCCTCCTCCTCCTCATCCTCCTCCTCACCATCATCCTCCTCCTCTTCCTCCTCCTCCTCCTCCTCCTCCTCCTCCTCCTCCTCCTCCTCCTCCTCCTCCTCCTCCTCCTCCTCCTCCTCATCCTCCTCCTCCTCCTGCTCCTCCTCCTCCTCCTCACTCTTTTCCTCCTCAGGCTCGTCATCCCCCTCATCGTCCTCCTCCTCGTCCTCATCCTCATCCTCATCATCCTCCTTCTCCTTCCCCTCGTCGCCATCCTCATCCTCCTCCTCCTCCTCATCATCGCCGTCCTCCTGCTCATCCTCGTCCTTTTCTTCCTCCCCTGCATCCTCGTCCTCCTCCTCCGCATCCTCCTCGGCCTCCTCCTCCCCATCCCCCTCGTCCTCAACATCCGCTTCACCAGGGCCTTCTTTGCCGCGCTTCGGCCTCTTCCCCCTCGAGGCTTGCTTGCCCCCCCGTCCGCTAGATGGTTTCCGCGGACCGGGTCGGCCCTTTTGCCGCAAAGCATGATCTGTCGCCAAGCCACTTGGCTCCGTGGTGCCTCGCGTTGTCCCAACTTCAGCACCACCGGCGTCGTCACCGCTGGCTGTCGTCTGCCTCCTCTTTGCGCGTATGGGGATGTCCTCGGCCACGGGGGTGTCATACTCCTCCTCCCCATCGCTCTTCCTCTGCCTACGCCTCCCGCGTCCCCCAGAGGGAGGAGATCCACCAATGTCGGCAATGTCGTGTTTCGGCTCCTCCGTGCAATCGTGCGCGGCATTCTTCTCCTTATCTATCACTGCAGTAGATACTTCGACCACGGGCGGGGGGAGCAGCGTCATATGCTGCTGTGATGCCTCTGCCACGGACACCACAGTTGCGGCCTGGTCGTCGCCGGGAGCCTCGCCGTGCTTTCCTCCAGTCGCCAAGCCCTCTCTGTCCCCCGGCCGGACGGCAACACTCACGCCGCCACGCCCAGGGTCTTCGTTCCCGCCGATGGTGCCGTCGTCGGAAGGACCGGGCTCGAGGGCAGCAGTGGCAACACCCGCATCGCTCTTCACGGCCGAAACACGCTTGCGTGCCGTTGGTTGCTTCCCCTTGTCCTCCGCCTTCTTCCCGGACTTCTTCGTTCCAACCTCAGCCTTCTTCCCCGCCGCACGTTTCCTTTGGTTGGTTTGCGCGGCGGCCGCTTTAGTAGCCCTAGATCTGGCCCCACCCTCATGGTCGGTCTGTATCGACATCCGCCGTGTCGTGCGTCGTTTTGCCTGCTCCTTCTCCTTTTCTGTTTGCCGAGTTGCACGTGTCATGAGGGTTGTACGAATGCAAGTTATAACTTGCGGGATTGTTTAGCCAGCTTTAGAAAATAGCCGAAAGGATTGTTACTAATTTACTCCGTCCCGGTCAAGCCAATACTGTCTCACCCTAAATCTCAGGTACGGTTACAACTGAAGAAGTAGCTACTAAGCACATGGCGTCAGCCCTTTGCTTCGTCGCTACTCTGACTCACTGGCGATCTGGAAACACCTGTGTTCAGCATCGAGCGGCGTCAAGGTGGTTTGAGGGTGACGGAAGATGGTGAGTGGGGCACGATGGTCGTTGGGGTGGTTTGCGAGTCTAGAGAGGGGATTGTAAGCAGACAGCCACAATCGGACGGTCTACGATTAGCCACCCGATCAATAACCCACTAAACGCGGGATCACAGCCGCTGCTTCCGCGGCGAATGTCCAGCTTGGCTGGTCCGGTCATGGGGAGGGGGGTCGTTTGAGATGCGTCGGCCAATCAGCGCCGCTCGCATCAATCTTCGCAGAATCTAGTACCGTCTAGACACCACCAATCATCGCATCCTGCAAAATACAGTGCCAATGTGCATTGATCAAATTTAAACATAGGAGCAGAATACACTTGCAAAGAACAACTAAAACCATTTGTATTGAACTTGGCCGCTTGTGGTGTCATGTTGTGTTAAGTCTAGGGAGTGCATCTGGCATCGGACACGCTCTTTGACCTACCAACTCGTGGACTATGGAATGCTATACTGAGCACACATTCAGGGTTGGCGACGGATACCGGTCGTTGGAACTTGTTCAGGCACGACGTGTACTAGTGCCAACTGGAATGGAGATGTGGTGTGGTGTTGGCGTGTAAATTCATGCGTGGGCCCTCGACATGGTGTATAGAGGGTGTGGAATGAAGCACAGGTCCAACGCACGAGCGAGGGTGCGTTATCGACATTGCTGTTCCAACGCGGCGACGTTGCAGCGTTCGCAGATATCTAGGGCTTGCGCGAGATGGTGAATCCGTTATGGAATGGTGTTGGCTTGGGCTCTATCCTTGCGTGGGCCATCGACATGGTGTATTGAGGCTGTGGAATGAAGCACAGGTCCAACGCACGAGCGAGGGTGCGTTATCGACAGCGCTGTTCCAACGCGGCGACGTTGCAGCGTTCGCAGACATCCAGGACTTGCGCGAGATGGTGAATCCGTAATGGAATGGTGCTGGCTTGGGCTCTATCCTTGCGTGGGCCCTCGACATGGTGTATAGAGGGTGTGGAATGAAGCACAGGTCCAACGCACGAGCGAGGGTGCGTTGTCGACCGCAGCGTCTAAACAGGCGACGCTGTAGCGGTCAGGCCTTGGGTGTTGCGCAACAAGGTGAGTCCGTTGTGGTACGGTGTTGGATTGTCCTCTAGCCTTAGACAGATATTCAAGTAGGTGCCTCTAAGGGGTATGAATGAGAGGCCCAACGCACAAGCGGCGATGCGTTATCGTGAGGGCACGGAGTTCTTGTGTACTTCCCGTATGTAGCCAGATCACACAAGAGATGAGAGGATATGGTGTTCAGACTGTCACGTTGTCAACTAGGGGTGGATATCGAGCAGGTCTTTTCATATGACTATGTCCTAGTTATCAACAAAGACTTTACTGTGTAGAGAAAAAACAATTCTACAATGTACTATCATTGTATTTGGGCTATGGTCAAGCGCAACACTATGCGCTCACTTACGTGTGCGCGATTTCCCCCCTATAACGCTTCGCGACTGAATCACAGATCCAAACGGATCTCTTCCCGCTCTTCCTCATCCCACTCGACTCTCATGCACCAAGGGTGCGTGAATCCACAGGCACGTCGTTCTCACCATGCTCGCAACGCACACATACGACCCACCGTCTTAAGATCAGGCGCATTTCCCGCTGCTCACGACGTGGTCTGTCTAAACGGGGGCGACACGCCTTGTAGGGAAGACGATCCGTGCTGTGAGCGGTCTGTACCGTGCCTTGTCACGACCGCGCGGCTCGAACATCGTTTGCCAGTCCCAAACATCGTTAAGCGGCCCGCTCAAGTGCCAGTCGTGCAGTGATACAAGCCGCCTTCGACAGTGCGCGGTTTGGCGATGACCTGGTTGCATTAACAGCCTTCTTGAACGGTGTACTTAATGCCTTCTCAAGCTTCCCACGACGCTAGTTGCTTCACAGGCCATTTCTCAACACTTAGACAGATCCGTAAAGCATGGGCTCCTTGCCTGGCGTCGTCTGCGAGTTCTGCAACAGATGGTTCCCCAACGCCCAAGTTTATGGCGGTCATAAGTCACGGCGGACCCCTTGTCAAGGCCTTTCCGCCGTGGCAAGGCCCTCGCGATCTGCACCGTCAGCCGGTCTACACGCACTGCTATTCGTCCACGACATTCTGTCGGACGCTCCCGCTGCTCCCGCTTCCCCTACCGCGTCTAACGCGTCCAACACCGACGGTGCGAATGGTCCTCATCGCGTCCCGGTAGCTGACGAGGACGCAACACCCTCGGCTGTGAACGTGGGGGCTCCTGAAACTGAGCATCAACCGTCACCAGAAACACCTGCAGATGACACGAGTGAGCATCAGGGGTGCCGCCCTGGAGTGAGTCACGCGGCACCGCCGACAATCATTTCCGGGGAGAGCAATGCGACGCCCCTCAGTCCGATTGCGTTGGAACTGCTGCATTTCGTGAGGCGCGTAAATGGCGGAATGGGCATGGCGGAGATCGACATCAATGGCCTGCTTCAGCTCGTGGTGGAGCCCGGCCTTGCGCCTCTTGTGATCTCAGAGATCCGGAACTGCAAGGATCTGGAGCGGTTCGAGATGGAGCGCTTGGTAGGGCTCAATCGCGGATGGTCAGTGGCGACCTTCGAGATTGAGGGTCATCCGCCACAGCGCCTCCTCTTCCAGAACTCCGCGCAGGTAAGCCGACTCTGGAACCGTGGATGCGAACTGCAGATTCCTCATCCTTGTGGAGCTTGTTGGGAATGTTGCCTTTGTTAGGCATGTGTGCGATCTGGCCCGTGAAACGCTCCCGCCACTAAACCAGGGTTTGGTTCTCTCCCGCTCTTGATCCCGCACTCCAGGCGTTTGCTGAACTGTTTGGGCACACCAACAACGCACCCGGCTTCAAGCTCAAGGCTCGTGTTGATGAGGACCCTGACACAGGCGAGCGTCGCTATACCACGCCAGAAACAGGAACGTGGTGGAACGATGCTCAGGTATGTAACTACCCCGCTGCCACCCAAAACCACACGCGTGCGCATGCGTCCGTTGATGCGCTGATGTGTAGGCAGCATCTTCAGTGCGTCATCTTCGTGGGGAGTTTTTTGTATCAGGCTCAATCCGCCTGGCGACACTTTACCTTGATGGTGTTTGACCGTGTGTTGTTTCCGTCTTTGTCGTGCAATGCAGGAACACTTCGGATGGTCCGAAGTCGTGGGGGGTATCATCCTATATTCAGATATGACGCACATGAGCAACAACGGCCGGAAGAAGGCGTGGCCGCTCATGATGACGCTTGCCAACATCTCCCAGGCCAAGCGATGGGGGAAAGCCGGGCACACGCTACTTGCTCTCCTTCCTATCCCCCCTTCTGCAATGACTGCCGTCGAGAAGGTGATGCTCTTCCAGCGATGCGTCATCACCGTGCTGCAGCCGCTTCTTGATGGCATGGACAGGTCCGTACTCGATTTCCGTCATGCTATGTCGTCACCGTAGCAACAGCATAGCGTGCGCAGCGTTTTTGTATGTTGCATTACCCTTTGCCCCTCCTCGCTGATGCACAGAGTCGTCCTGGCTGTTGCTGTTCCCACTCTACCCTTTCCTCGCAGCGGCCTCCGTCTCAAGGACCCTTTCGGCGATTGGCAAACAGTGCGGCCACTGCTGTACGCCTGGGTGTGCGACTACCCCGAGAGCGGCAAGATCAGTTGCACACTCTCGCATAGATCGTGGATGCCGTGCAGCATCTGCTATGCTGCAAAGGTGAGCAAACATGCCAGCTGCGCGCCTTCAGCACCATCGTCATCTGAATGGCACGTGACGGACCTCCTAATCTTACCTCCCTTACCTGTTCATCCCTTCCAACCCCCCGTGCTACACCAGGAGCATTTGGTTGCTGTCAAGGCACGGAACACGCCGCGCACGCCTGAACAGCAGCAATGGATCGTGAATGAGGCGGCTGGGTTGACATCAAGCCAGGCCGACCCATGCAAGACCTACTCGACCTACCCGGTTGAGGTGAGCGACCTGTCCCCTTCGCTAATTTGTAGTCTATGCACTCCGTGTTGCTAAACCCAGGGGGAGATGTGCACTGCCATTGCACTGCCCCACATGTTGGCCGAGTCTCTCATATACCCTTCTCTACCATTCCACACCACAACCCCTCCGCTAGTGTGTGCTGTGGAAGTGGGATGTCCCAGGGGCAATCCCTACCTCGTTATCATGCCTGACATCATGCACCAGGCGGACCTGGGCATGATGAGCCACATTGTGGCTGTCGTGCGCAAGATGAAGAAGCGGCGCGTGAAGCAGATGGACAGGTCAGTGCCTTGGGGGATTAGTTTCTTGTCAACAACACTCCAATACGCACTCTCCTCCTACTTACATGTCTCTGCATTTGTGCCGGCCTTGAACTGTTGTGTATGCGCAGGCGCCTGTCCCTCATTCGCGACCGCACGCGCCTGAACCACCTGCGCCTGCCAGAGAGCGCGTACTTCGAGAGTGGAGCATGTGTCGCGGCCTATGAGCACAGGGCCGTCATGCAGGTGTGCAAGCCATGGCGCATGTAATCATCTTGTGCGATAGCATGCACCATGCAGAAGCAGCTTGCCGGTTCTAGACTACAACACACCCCCTGCTGCATCTCAGTACCCTCTCTCCTGCTTTGCAACAATTCCGCCACCAAACCCGTTTGCTCAACTTCTCATGCCCCCCTGCCGTCATAAACCCCGCAATTTGCAGGTCATGGTGTTTGTCTTTGCTGGCCTGCTTCGCCAGCCCCAGATGGATGCTGTTCGTGCCTACCTTGGCTGGTACCTCTTGTGTTGCCAGCCAACGGGGCACACCGAGCGGTCCCTGCGGGATCTCAAGAAGAAGACCTCCCGGTACTATTAACATGCATGTACTACCCTTAGGCATTGTATGAATGCCTGGCCAAGACACTTAAGCTGTTGTAGTAACCTATCTTCTCAGGTTGTTGCTGATAAAACATGATAGTATATCAAATAAAGTAGGCTGCAGTAGGCTATAGTACTAGACTCTCATGTCCTTGCATATGCTGTCAACTCCCACTCCCATCAGGCTGGTTGAGCAGTTGCAGGCTGCTTTCCCAAAGCAGCCATCCTCTTGGTGCCTTGTGAAAACCCATCTCATGTCGCACTACATCGACTCCATTCGCCGCGCTGGACACGTCACGGAATTCAGCACCAACATGTTCGAGCACTTGCATGGCCCGTTGGTAAAGAGGATCTACCGGCGGTCCAACAAGCGCAATGTAGATGGGCAGATTATGAAGTTCCATGCTAGGCGCATCCCGGACGTTGTGCCGGTGGATGATCCCCTTGGCCGGGACACTGCCATGCGGCAGGTAAACCTGTCTAGTGATTGAATTGCAAGGATATGCATGCATAATGTAATAAAGTCGCCACTGTTTGTTGGCAGGCCATTGAGACAGGCACAAGGACTCTTATCAAAGAGTCCTACTTACTCCCTGTGGAGTTACCAGAAGAACCCACCTCCACCAACTGGTTTGCAAGGAAGTGGGCCATGCAACACCCTGTTGCACAAGCTGCCCTCAAGGATGCGCTAGTACGTTATGCAGGATGCGCCCCCAAGATCAGGCCGGTAAGTACTTCGTGGATCATACAATCATTCTTTTCGTGCCCCAAACCCTAAACTGATCACACACTGCAATTGTTGTGCAGGCCCATGCATCGTTGGCCATCCCAGCGGCAGATGATGCCAGCTTCTCAAGGGTTTCTCACTTCGTTCGGGCGACACCTGACTATTTTGAGCGGCCGTGGTACTCGGATGTTGCAGTAGAGGGTGTAAGGTACGGTCGGAGAGAGGAGTGGTACGCAAGGTTGCTGCTGCTGTTCCACACCAAAATCCGTGGAGAGAGGGAGGAGCTGGCTTACGTTAGATATTGGAATGCGTGTGGGGAGGATGCTGCAACTGGATGCACTCGCCTCAAGTGGACGACTGGAGTGTATGCGTACTCCGTGATTCCGCTTGAAGCGCTGCTTCGCCACGTCCTGTTAAACTGCATTATGCTTGTAGGCTGTAGTGGGGTAGCCAATATGGGGTACAACCCCAACTAGGGTTTGCTACTTGTACCCAACTGTTTCATTCAATGCATCATTCTTGCCTAGTTCTTCTGACATGGTATTCAGAGCAGGAGGTCCCTAGGACCTACCGACCGTTTTTTTTTTTAAGGGCCCACCACCGCTCGCATGCGGTTACCACGCTACCCCGTGCCCTAGCCTCGTAGCGCCCTCGTTAGCGCCCTCGCGCGCCCCTTCGTTAGCGCCCTCGCGCGCCCCTCGTTAGCGCCCTCGCGCGCACCCTCGTTAGCGCCCTCGCGCGCCCCTTCGTTAGCGCCCTCGCGCGCCCCTTCGTTAGCGCCCTCGCGCGCCCCTTGCTAGCGCCCTCGCGCGCCCCTCACTAGCGCCCTCGCGCGCCCCTCGCCGAGCCGCCCGCTCGCAGCCCGCCCGCCCGCTCGCTGCCCGCTTCGCGGCCCGCTCGCTACGCAGCCCGCCCGCCCGCTCGCTGCCCGCTTCGCGGCCCGCTCGCTACGCAGCCCGCCCGCCCGCTCGCTGCCCGCTTCGCGGCCCGCCCGCTTCGCAGCCCGCTCGCTCGCTGCCCGCTTCGCGGCCCGCCCACTTCGCAGCCCGCCCGCCCGCTCGCTGCCCGCTTCGCGGCCCGCCCGCCTCGCAGCCCGCTCGCCCCGCTGCCCGCTTCGCGGCCCGCCCACTTCGCAGCCCGCCCGCCCGCTAGCTGCCCACTTCGCGGCCCGCCCGCATCGCAGCCCGCTCGCCCCGCTGCCCGCTTCGCAGCCCGCCCGCCCGCCCGCTGCCCGCTTCGCGGCCCGCCCGCCTCGCAGCGTCGCCCGCCCGCCGTGCTGCCCACTTGCAGCGCCGCCTGCCCGCCGCGCTGCCCGCTTCCCGGCCCGTCCGCCGAGCTGCCCGCTCGCAGCGTCGCCCTCCCGTCGCGCTGACCGCTTGCAGCGCCGCCTGCCCGTAGCGCCAGCCTCGCCCGCTGCTCTCTATCCGTGCACAGTCGCCTTCCCCTGCTGCGGCAGCTTGCGTTACTCTGTCACACTGTCGCTATGGCTTCCATCCGCGTACTGTCGTTCGATGCTGAGGGCCGCCCTGTGCGGTTCACCGCTTGGCTAGATGACCTGCAGCTGTTCCTCCTGAGCGATAGCAAGGAGCATGTGTCGCTCTATGATTACGCGTCTGGTGCTGCGCCTGCCCCTCCTGCCACAGCTGAGCTTAGTGTTCGTTCCCACTGGCAGACTCGTGACGCAGCTGCTCGCCTAGCCATTCGCAGTCACCTGCCGTTAGCTGAGCTAGAGCATTTTGGCGACTGCAAATCCGCTAAGGCCCTGTACGACGCTGTCGTCGCTCGCTACTCCTCGCCTGCCACAGCCGAGCTTAGCCGCCTCATGCTGCCGTACCTGTTCCCCGATCTGTCCACCTTTACTACAGTCGCCGATCTTATCACCCACCTTCGCACTAGTGATGCTCGCCTGCGTGCCGCTCTTCCCACCGAGTTCTGCGCTAAGAACCCCCCTCCACTGTACTGGACACTCCACTTCATAGTCACCCGTCTCCCTGACACCCTCCGCTCAGTTCGAGACCACTTCCTTGCTCGCTGTCCCACTGAGCTCACAGTCGCCCTCCTAGAGGAGCACCTGCTCGCGGCCGAAAAGAGCATTGTAGCTGTCGGTGCTGCTCGTGGCGCTCCTCGCACCCCCATCTTTGAGGGGTGTTCTCCCTCTCCCCTCGCTCCCTCCTACGCTGCTGCTGCTGCTGTTGACTTCCTTGGTGCTGAGTCTGTTGGCGCTGCTTCTGCTCCTGGTGGGAGGCGCCGCACCGGCAAGGGCAAGGGGGGCAAAAGTGGTGGTGGTGGCGCTGGGGGGGGAGGAGGTGGGGGAGGTGGGGGGGGAGGCGGTGCTGGAGGGAGCGGTGGCGGGAGCGCTGGTGGGAGTGGGGTCGGTGGTGGAGACGGGGGCGGCGGAGGAAGCAGTGGCAGTAGTGGCGGCGGCGGCGGTGGCGGCGGTGGCGGTGGTGGCGGTGGTGGCGGTGGCGGTCGGAGCGGTGGTAGTGGTGGCGGCGGAGGTCGGAGTGGAGGCACTGGCTCGGGCCAGAGCTCCCAGCAGCAGCAGCGTCCCCAGACGACCCAGCAGCTTCGTGAGTGGCTTACTCAGCGTGGGACGTCGGGGGCCAGTGCCCGCTGTTCTTATGTCATTCGCACAGGTGACCGCAAGGGACAGACGTGTGGGAGGTTCCACACCCCGTACCGCTGCTTCTCCCGCCTTGACGACGCCTGGCGTGAGGAGATGGGTGCGGATGTTGAGCGCCCCCGCTGGGCTGAGCTCATGAGGGCTGGTGTTGATGTCTTTGCTCTTGACTATGATGCTATTATTGCTGCCATGTATGCATTGACTGTTAGTGCCGAGGGAGACTGTTACTTGTGTGTGCCGCCTGACCCAGGTATAGAGCCTGCTGCCCTGGGTACTAGTGAGTCTGCTCTCTCTGGTATGGTGCCCCCTGTACCTGCTCCCCCCAGTGCTGTCCCGGCTGGTTTCGAGTCTGCTCTCTCAGGTACAGCACCCACACAGACTCCTCTCTCAGGTACCGCACCGGCTGAGGCCTGTCACACCTTCACCCTTGACTCAGGTGCTTCCCGTTGCTTCTTTCGTGACAGTACTGAGCTCACACCGCTTCCTGCACCGGTCCCAGTCTCCTTGGCTGACCCCTCTGGGGGCCCAGTCCTTGCCCAGTCCACCACTGTGCTCCCTTGTCCGGCGGTTCCGTCTGGCTCGTTGTCGGGTTTCCACCTCCCCTCGTTCTCGACGAACCTGGTGAGCAACGCTGTCATCCAGGATCAGTGGGTTGACACCTTTACCCCTGGAGGACAGCGTGTGGCGATCTGCACGTGCTCCAGGACCGGCCGTCACCTGGCTACGTTTACCCGTCGGCCGGGGTCGAGTCTCTACACACTGACCACTGCGTCTCCTCAGGTCGCTGCTGTCGGTCAGGTGTCCGTTTTAGGTCTGGTGGCCCACGCCTGTGAGTGTCGTTCCCTGTCACACCAGACTCTTCTCTGGCACCACCGCCTGGGTCACCCCTCCTTGCCACGCCTCCGTGGCATGCACCGTCACCGCCTTGTGTCTGGTCTTCCCAGGTCTCTCCCTCCCCTCCCTGCCTCGCCTGCGCCGCCTTGCCTTCCTTGCGTCGAGGGGCGGCAGCGCGCCGCTCCTCACTCCTCCTCGTTCCCCCCGACAGAGGCTCCTTTGCAGACCCTCCACCTGGACGTGTGGGGCCCAGCCCGCGTTCGTGGCCAGGGCGGTGAGCGGTACTTTTTGCTGGTTGTCGACGACTACTCGCGCTACACCACGGTCTTCCCCTTGCGCACCAAGGGTGAGGTCCCTGCTGTTCTGATCCCTTGGATCCGCACGGTTCGTCTCCAGCTCCGCCGCCGTTTCCGGACGGATCTTCCTGTCCTGCGTCTGCACTCTGACAGAGGTGGTGAGTTTTCCTCCGATCTCTTGAGGACCTTCTGT